TCAGCTCTTCTTACATTGGGTTTAATTACAGAGTATTAAAAAATAAAAATTAAAGCCCCTGGACCAATATACAAAGAGAGGGGGAAAAAAAAAGCTACTCCGTATTTTATTATTTTGGATTTTTACATTGGGTTCAAGCTATCAAACTTTATATTAGATGATCATATTAGACTTAACAGCAATACTAAGTATAAATGTACGTTGCATTGGACTTGAGCAAAATCCAAACTCAAAACTAAAATTTAACACCTGAGAGTCCTAACTACTCATAGGGTACCCAAGAACAAATTGATGCAAAATTTCATTATTCCTCTGTTTGTTTCTCTTTGTTTTTCAGCTTGTAATATGTATCAAAATTTTATTCTAGAGAATCATCTAGACTCTATAAGAAAAGCATGTAAATGCTATTTTTTACTCTTTAAAATACATAAGAAAAGGTTAAGGATATATGATTTTGAACTTAATAGTCGATTATTACTCTTTCTAAAGGTTCATTGTATTAATTCTTATCAGTTTCAAGGTATTTAAAGATTGCATAAGACATTTTACATGCAAAATGCTTTCTAATCATAACTATGTACAAGCTAAAATCTTTAGTACAAAAACAAGCCTTGATAATTTCTCCGCATTGGCTAGCCATGTCGCGCACATCGCGCGTGTTGGCCACCCTAGTATATATATAATTCAAGATTAATGTTATGATAATGATCAATCTTGATTATTGATAGCCCCCTAAAACCTTTATATTCAAGTTAATTCGTACATTTTGCGGTTTTCTGTTGACGTTTTGGTAGTTCCTAGATACTAAGGAAATGGCTTTTATTTGGCAATGCTCCAAAAATATCTATTATGGTGCAATAAAGCATCACTAACGCTTACGTTGACGCATGCGAAAGAGCTCTATTATTGCATCATTTAAGCAAAATATTAGCGCTATTGATGGCTTACAACGCTTGGAAGCGCCCCTACAATTTCTAACACACTTGTATCTCTAACACCGTAATAGCATTGCAACAACTTCATTTTTTATGACATGTATCTACATTTTATATTATGTTATACTTACATTTTCAGTTTTAAAATTTTAGTTTTTACACTCTATCATATAATTAAATATCCTCCAGTCAAATAAAAGTTGTATTCGAGTAAAAGGGAAAGCGAAAGCTTACATCCATAAAAGAAGAAAAGAGTGTACATTTTGTAACGCTAAATAGTTTCTATAACTATGGTTGACACATCTTTAATTAATGACAAGAGTGTGGAAAACTAAACTTTTTTTTAGGGGAAATTTAAAGATGTACAGTATAATATGTAGTTATGTATAGAAACATGTTATTTAAAAAGTGAACGTTAAATTAGGACGAGTTTAAATAAAAAGTGTTAATGTATTATACTACGTAGTAAGTTAATGTGAGACCTAGAATATAGGTTGTGTGGAAAGAGAAAGGACACTTTTTTTGTTTGTACCAAGATTGAATATCTTAAAACACTATTCCTTGAATCCAAGTATGAATTAGTTGAAGGAAGTAAAACACTACTTTGAATAAACTACAGATAATACTACAGTCTCGAATGGGCGATATGAGCTAATTTGTTTAGTTGTCAAGTTACATCATGTGTACATATTTTTCACCCCATATTAACAGACTATTCACTTATCGACATAGTTTTTAATGGTATAAAGAAAAAAGTCATGAGTGGTTAGGTATGAATTACAATATTCCCTAATTTAAGTTACAAAAATTATTCTTAATAAGAAATAAACACACCTATTATTTTGAAATACAACAAAATGAAAAATGGAATAAGAAAATTGTGACCGCTGGATGGGATGTATGCAAATAGTTAAATAATTGGGAATCTATATATAATGAATTAAATTGCAAAAATATCCAAGAGTTCAATTATTGGAATTCAGATTAAAAATGCAAATAGATTAGATCTTGCATCTAAGATTAATTTCAATTTCGTAAGAAATTGTAAATAGGCATGAGAGTTGTGCTTGGAACACGCACTGAGTAGTGGATAGATCCATGTGATGTAGGGCAAAGCACATGCATTATGTTTTCATGTTTCCATCAATTTCAATTGAAAAAATGTACGGTTTCCAATGTTTACGTTATTTGACTCTTGTTTAAATGTATTCACATGTTTGCACTTTGTACTCCATGTTAGTTGTATAACTAACTTCTAATCTCCATCTTGTTCATACGGACCACTCCGTATTAATATAAGTACAAGTGTACAACTATAGTAGTACAAAACTATGTATTATAAGATATTTAATTAATTATGTTGGTGATCGGCTAATTATGTTTTCAACTTTTGCTTCTATAATCAATAACATCGTTTAGCTTGATCAACTAGGTAGTATTATTTACTATATTTGAAATTCCGTCTTATATTTTGACAAATTGGTGATAGAAATAATTCTTATGTAGAGTTAAATAATAAGAATGGGGACCCATTTTTAGATACAACGAGGTTAGGTCCAAAACAAATCCAAAACAAGTAAAAGAGAGTATGTTTATTATGGTTAAACTCGTGCCTAAATCCCTTTTATTATCTCTATAGAACTCGAATGCATCATGTTCATAATTTGATGAGGATCCGTATCCATGATGACTGATTTGGATTCATGGATCTGAGTTGGGTCCAGGATCTACTACTATCTCTACATGGCACCTAATAACGTGGCACCTGCTTGTTGATATTGTGTAATTTAATTTAAGTACTCAAATTACCTTTAATCTTCATATCAAATAAAACAGACTCGATTATCGGAGCAGTTTTTCTCAAATAAGTCCCGAGGGTTTGATACACATTACAGTTTGTAGGTATCAAATTGGATTAGAGGCGACTTATAGGATTACAATTTACAGGCCCTAAACACTTGTTTCCAAACCCTTACGAGAACAACGATGTAACTTAATTTAGATATAAAGTCCTAAGAAGTACAACCAACCATAAAGTATGGATAAAAATAATTATTTTTCCTCTATACGGATACTATTCAACACTAGGATTACTGAATTATAGAAATTTGCTAATGATGATCCCATCTTTTTCTCATCTTGCAAAGGAAGAAAAGCACATTGAGCTTTTGCCACTAACTTCAGTGCAAACTTTTTGATCTGAAGCATGAGTCAAGTTTCGTTACTTTAACCTTTCAAGGTTTTATAAGATTTTAGTAGATCGTATTGTATAATTTCAAGTGGCGTACATTCAAAAGTAACTTTCGAGAGATCTTTACAAAGACGGTTTAGCCATGTTCATTTATAGTGAACGTGATTTGAGAGTATTTTGTTAGTTGGTGCACTATTTCATACGGAGTTTATGATATGATTATTGATATGGTGTGCCCACTTACAATTTGTCAATTTGCACTAGGACTAAATTCAATTTCAACGCAATTATAAGAGATATAGCGGCTATTAGATTGCGAAATATGGTATTTATTTTACTTAAATTATTAATTGCCATGATGTCATTAATGCAACATGTTACATCATGAATGAAGTTCTTTTGTTCGTTTGAGAAAAATAGTGTTAAAGAGAAATTTAGGATGTTTCTTCAATAGGAGGGAAGTTGAAGTAAAGAGTATTTATTAAATTAACTATCCTCCTTATTATAGAAATATCCTAAGTGTAATTAATACTTGACCCTTGTGTAGTTGTGTGTGGCTAGTTGCACTACTACGTGACCGCATTTGTTTATGGAAGTAGCCTTTTTTATTAATATGAGTAGCCTTATTTATTGATCAGGGTTCTCTTGTTTGTCCATAAGAATAACCCTTATTCTTTTTATTATATTAAGGCGGCTAACACGCGTGATGTGTATGTCATAGCTAGTCATATTCGGGAAGCACTTTCGCTTTGACCTTATATCATAAATTTAATTCATTATTGACAAAATTAATGAATGAAAATATGTAAACAAATATTTTAGGGATATAAATGTCCGCACATTATTTTTAAGAGTTGAAAAAAGAAACAATTAACATTAATAAGGACAAGTAAGTAAATAAACATTTTTAAAATATTTAATTGTCCAGGATTGTGTATTTGTGTATTTCAGGAACAAGCCTCCTATTTAACCTACCTCACTGCACTGACATATGTAGTATCAACGTTAATAATTTTTCAAATCTAATCACTTTTATCATTTCTTTTTTTGTATACATGTTGAGTTGTTGACAAAGGCCATTTTAGTCTCATTGGTACAATTAAAATGCATCCAATTATCCATTTGAATTTATTTGTAAAAAATTATGGATCTTTACAATTAATCTATGAATGATACTGATTTTACTTGGTATTACGAAAGTTATAATTAGATTTTGAATATGCAATATGATTTTACTTACCAACTAAAACATACTTCGTCTAGGTTTATACAATAATTATACCTAATTCATATACCTTTTAAAAAGTTTGAGTTACTCTTACGAATAGTGTTTGGACGATCATATACTCTAAAATTTATTTACTTATTTACCCTTATTAATGTTTTTTTTTTTGAACTCTTAAAAATAGTTTGCTTACATTTATAACCCTATAAATATTTGTTTATATAAGTTCCCTCATTAATTCTACCAACAACTAAAGTTATGGCATAATGCTAAATCGATAAACTACCTGAACATGACTAGCTATGGTACGCGTGTTAGCTACCCTAGTCAATATAAAATTAGTCATAGTTGTCTTATTTTAAGTGAATAGATCACACTAGATTCTATAATAATGATTAATTAGATTAGATAACCTAATTATTTTCAACATAGTTACTAACCTAAGTTACACTACTCCTCACAACTTCACAAGACAAGCTCAGCGATATTGGCGGGAGAATCAAAGGACAGTTATGGGCTTGTAACGTTAATAGCAAGACCATTAACTAAAAGTCAATGCAAAAGTATAGTATGTTCATATAGGGCTTCCAAACTTAGTTAATTACAACTAATTACTCTATAAATACTCCATTAAGAACACTAACCTAGGCATTCCACATTAAGTGAGCTCAAATACTTTAGTTAATTTTTTTTCAAAACTCCCTCAAAAACTTCCCTTCCTAAGTTTGAAGCAAAAAGGGCAGTATGAAGGCCCTTTCTATGCTTTTGGCTCTCCTTGTTCTTTCCATGCTTGCCACTGAGGTAATTTTGTTTATACCTTATTCTTTAGTTTGAGGCATTTGTTACATAAATGGAGTACATTCTTAAAAACAAACAAGCTAATTTTTGGTTGTTTTGCGTTATTTTTTTTGTCTTATTTCTAGGCTTTCGCAAGGCATTACCAATACGGAAATGGGAGTTTGAAGCTTTACCGTAAGTAAACAATACAATTAATATAATGTTCTTTTATACATTTTATCATTTTATGTGACACAAATTAAATTTTTTTTTGTTCTTCTCATTTTGTATATGTCATAATGTCAACCACGCAATATAAACAGATACATGTAAGTACATTTTATCAAAAAAAAAAAAACTAACAATATATAATACAAACGCATAATAATATTACATTTTTGTATTAATATTATAATTGCGAATATGATTCTAAAGTAAGGTAACTGGTACGTATATATTGTGATTGCAAATATGATTCTAAAGAAAAAAGTTTTATTCAAAGAAAATGTTCTCCTATACATTATTATACTTCTACATTTCGTACATCCTTCACAAATGGATTTTAAATTTTATATTATGTAGATTATTAAAGTTTTTTTAACTAAAGTTTCATTAAATGACTCACACATGCATGCACATATTTCTATAGAAATCTAAAGCCAATAGAATAGTGCCAATTTGTTGATACAAGTATACAGCATAAGTATCTTAATGACCTTAAAACTAAAATAATATTCATCTCACACATTGACCTTATACCTTTAAGCTTACAAAACTAAATTAGTTTGTGATTGTCTTATAAAATGTATGTAGTTTTTATTTATTGTTACACAACAATCATCATTTTTATGTCAAAGCACAATTTATATCTTTAGTTTTTTAGTAAATTCTTAACAATTCTGTAGTGAACTTTATATTTGTTACATTAATAATATTATTTGGATATGAAAATGAGCAGAATGCCCGAAGCGATGTAAGAAAAGGTGCTCAAAAGCTCGAAAAACCGAGGAATGCAAGTTCTTTTGCAATAAGTGTTGCCGAACATGCCTTTGTGTTCCACCAGGTACCTTTGGTTACAAATATCTCTGCCCTTGCTACAACAACTGGAAGACCAAGAGGGGAGGCCCCAAGTGCCCTTAATTACCTTCACGTTCTTCTTAATAGTAATAAATTCCTACTCTTTAGTTTTGAAGGCCGGAAAACGAGATTGAAATCTACTTAGTAGGTAATCTATATAATGCCCTAATGGGCGGACTACGTAGGGTATTTCCAAGATGAAGGACGTACAAATTCTATCATCTACTACTAAGTTCTTTAGTATACTAAAATATGTATGTGTGCAACTTTTTTTTTTTTTTTTTTTTTATTTGTCGTTGTGTTACGTGTTATTACTTCACTGGCTGATTAATCCGATGCTCCATTTTGGGGTCTATATTTGTAAACCCCACAATCGAGAGCGTGATTGGACGACTATAATTTTTGGCCATTTTGTATTCTGTTTGAATTTATATAATTTTAAACATTGCTTATCATTCAATTCAATGCTTTTTCATCCTGATTTGAATCATATTATGATATACTTATAATTCTCGATTTAGGAACCAATACAATTATAATAACTTGGAATTTTACACCCAAAATTAAAATATTAGCTTATGAATAATTATTGCTCTCTATATGGATAAATGTCGTTTTTACAATAAATTTAAGATAAAATTAGCTTCAACAACACCAACAATATATGGTTTCAGTAAGCACTAACTATTTTTATTTATAGGGTCATTGAATTAAGACTTTAGAACTAAGAAACTTTGGTTACTGATCATTTATGCCCTGTTCTCTTCACCATATTCAAATAATATTTAGTGAAAATAAGTGATATTAAGTACTATTAAATCGAGTTTAGTAAAAAAAAATATTTTAACCAGTTAAATAACTTACTTTAAGAATAAATATAATAGAGAATCAATAAAAATACGTCTTAATTAGCTCAATTATGACGTCACTTATGAAGTATATGATCATTAAAATGTTATGGTAGTAATATTTCAACGACTAGTATAAATTTTTTAGATTTTTTCTAATTAAAACTTATTTTATTGAACTAAACTTATTATACTGACTTAACCTAATTTTCTAAAGTAAAATTATTTTCACTATTTATTATTTGAATATGTTAAAGTGAGCAAGGCCTTAGTAAAATGATTATATTAGTAACTATTGATTATATTACACCAATTGACACGTAATTATATCATAAAATTATCAAACTATATACAGAGTACCAATTTAAAATTGATGTATACATATGAATGGTATGATGTTTATATGCCGCAAGCACAACTAAGTGTTGTAAATATCGACAATACCTGTAAATTTTTTATTACTTTCCTTTAATATTTGGGTAAGAACAAAGAAGTACATATCATATCACTAATATATGAAGCCGGTCTTGCAGTGGCCACAAGACTTCGACACTCGACATTCCAATTTTTTGTCAAGTGTCGAGCCACGTATGCGTTAAATAGGTATTGTTGTGACACATAGGATGCTAACTAAGCGAATTTTGGATAGATTTTTTAAGATACAAATGTTGTATAGTGTTTTATTATCGATATATTTTTAATATTTCATATATACAAAATTAATGGGAAAATACAAGTTAATCAGATAAATGAATTTTTGTTAATCTGATGGCATTTTTGTAAATATATTAAAAAAGTAGGGTCATTTATTCAGTACTTTTGGTGAGTTGTCCAATTACTGTTTGCCTTTTGCTTTTACTGTTTGGTGAGAAAATTACACATGTACCCCTCAACTAGTACATGAAAAGACGCATATACCCCTTCACTGGTATTTGAAAAAACAATTATACCCCCAAATAAACAAATTTTGTTTAATTATAACTTTTTATAAAGATCTTATAACTCAATACTATTCCCATCATAAAATTCGTTTAAAAAGTTCTTTGAAATGAGATCCATTTATAATATGTTTATTAAAAATAATTTAAGTGCAATAAAAAAAATATCAAGTTAATAATAATATAGATATTTATTTACAAATAATACTACAAAAAGTACACTATTATATAAATAAGCGATATGATATCGAATGTCTAAAAATGTTACGTAATCAAAATGGAGTTATAATATCGTATTTAACCTTCAAGCAAAAAAGTTTAAGACAATCCGGGTATCGCCCGGACACAAACTAGTATAGTATAACTGTTAACTATTTGTACATCTTCCCTTTTCAAAAAAGATACAATATTAGGTAAATTCAATGTTTTGTTAATATGATACGTATGATAGAATCATAATTAACCTATGCACCTCTATTTAACTATTGGTTTTTTTGGGTAACAAAACTAACAATACAACGGCCAAAATTGACATGTTGGTATATATAGTTAGGTATGAGAAATTGTTGTAAAAAGTTCCCATAAAACTACCCTAAAATACATTCCTAAAATTTGCTCTGATTAATTGAAGGCAAAACGTTCAGAACTTCAGTTCACATTAGGTCACTATACTCATTAAACAACCCTCTAAATTTTCTTTTTTTATGCATCAATATATGTGTGCTCTTGCATGCACATTGATCCAAGACCACTTGAACCGATAATTTGATGATTCAAAAGTCAAAGACTGACCAGTAATACACCTTCAAATCGGACCGTTAAAATCTTCAACACCCATATCGGACATGTTTGGAGTGATCATAGACATTTAAAAACTCGTGATTCAATTCAAGCTTTGTTTGATACATACAATGATTTTAATGTATTCCCTAGTAATCTTTCCAACACTTTTAACTAGGGATTTAATCTTTAATTTGCAAACATGCAAAAATTGAGCCTCATTATGACCATATATATATAATTTGGTCTATTTGCACCCCTTTAACAAAAAAAAAAAAAGGTATAATTTGCCCCTTCACTTATGTATTACACTTATCTATACTACTATATAAAGAGAAAGGGCCTTTTGGGTGATAAATTTATCTTTTTCCAAAATGCCCTTCTCAATTTACAAAACTACTTATCCATTAATTAATATTTTTTTTAAAAATGAAAAAAAAAAATCATTCATAACTGCTCAAAAAAAAAATCTATTCTTTCAAATAAAATAAAATAAAAAAAACCTAAAACCTAAAAACTAACTACCCACTCACCAGAATTATTATCACTAAAAACAAACAAAAATTATCTACTTTTTATAAATAAAAAAAAGGTAACTAACCACAAACCCCATTTACTTTTTTTTTTAATTGAAAAAAACCACCTTAAACTTTGTTGAAAGATAACTACATCATGATTTTATTAAAAATAAAAAATAATAACAAAAAAAAAGGAATATAGTTCCCTCAAAAAAATAATCTACATTACAAAGAATAAAGAACCTTAAAATTTATTTAAAAAATAAAAGGAAAAATTATACATCTATCTAATTTTCTATATACGTACTATTATTACTGTAGATGTTTACTCTATAATTTTCAATCTTTTATATAAAAACTCAACGATCAACAATATTTTTTAAGGTTAACTGAGGTATACGAAGTGGAGTAGATGTCTTCGTTCTTAAATCTAAAGTTTATGTAAGTATTGATTTTCGAAAAAATCCACAATAACAATATTATGAGTAACTTAATAAATTTCCTATAGTGTACACGCGTAGCGTGTGTCTCGTACCTTGTCTACATAAAACAAAAGGACATCATCGTACATACAATTTGTGCCTCGTTTTGTAACTATAAATGTATATGACCAACTATAAATGTATATGACCAAATTGACTAGATGAGTAGATGGATCGGACTGTGTAATACGTATTTGATTACAAATTTACCACAAGTAGTATATACATACATAAATTGAGAGAATCATTTATTTTAAACCATTCCCAAATCTAACAAGGTGTGGTAAGCCGGTAACCAACAAAGCTTAAAATTGAAGATAGGAGATTTTAGTACGTATATGATTACGACTATTTTTGGATGATGAATGAACATTATTACAGTTTACTTCAATACTCCAATAATCAAATATGATTAATATTAATTAATAGTTGATTAATTAGCCAGCCTACACTAACATAACTCTTCACAAGAGGAGGTCAGCGATATTAGCGGAGAAAGGGACATATGAAAATGGCCTCTAACCAAAAAGTCAATGCATGCATGCTTAACTATACTTTGGCTTATTTCATATGAGTCTTCCTAATTTAATAATTGTACCAAAAAAAAATCTATAAATACCCCTTCTTAAACACAAACCTAATCATCCACAATTCTTTCTCTTGTTATTTTTACATAACAATAACCTCAAAATCCTTTTCTTTTCTCTCCTTTAATTTGTAGCAAAATGGCCAATATTAAGGCTATGTCATTGCTTTTGGCTTTCCTTGTTGTTGCTATGCTTGTCTCCGAGGTAATTATGGCCAATTTAAGACATTCTTCCTTTAATTAATTAAGTACAATTATTATTATTAGCATACTAATATTGATTTCGTAATATGTCAACAGGCTTTTGCTAGGACCAACTACTATGGGAATAACAGTTTGACACTTGCTCGTAAGTAACAAAAATTATATACTATTTATATAAGTAATATACTCATATATGTTTTCACGCCACACTTTATAAATTATATTCTTTTTATTTTGAGTTTGCTATGAATTTTGTGAAATTAAATTACTAGGAATAACGCATGCATGCATACGTGACAATTAACATTAGTTTCATGAAATTGAAACAGAATGCCCTGGACGTTGTGCTAAAAGGTGCTCAAAGGCTCGTAAAACCGAGGAATGCAACTTCTTTTGCAACAAGTGCTGCCGAACATGCCTTTGTGTTCCACCAGGTACCTTTGGCTACAAAGAACTCTGCCCTTGCTACAACAACTGGAAGACCAAGAGAGGTGGACCAAAGTGCCCTTAATTTCATTTCTTAATCTTCTTAATAAAACTATCCGAATTGACTTAATTTTAATTTGAGGCTACATAAAGCTCTAATATTAATGATAGAGGATATATTTTGACAAATCATATCGAAATATATCATCTATCAATTACTATTTATGTATTGTTACGTACATTGTGATTTTGTGAACTAGTACTTATTAAGCTTTAATTTAGTACGTACTAGAATGTTTTTATTTTGAATTGTAATTTTAATTTATGCCATCGCTTCATTGAAGGGTATATTTCTTGTAAACCCTTTTATTGAGAGCGTTATAGGGCAAATATTTCTGGCCATTTTCTATTATTTTTTATATTTGGCAATTATTGTTTGTTGGAATGGTTATTTTAAAAAAATGATAATATTCTGATCCAAGAGGTTTTTTTTTTTTTTTTTTTTTTTTTTTTTTTTTTTTTTTTTACATGTATCATTATGAATCGGATTTTATTGTTTTTAAAGTTCATTACACTAATATCTGCAAAATGGCTCTAATTAAGTTAAGTAGCTCATAGAAAATCATTTAAATGCCAAATACTTAGAGAAAGAACGAGGCAACAAAATATGAAAATATGATCATCTTCAGTTATTCGTGTATCTTAAGTGATTAATTAGTACTCGGAACAAAATTAAACAGAATATTATAGATCTAAGAAGTACTAAATCCATGCTAAAACATGCTAAACCAATATTCCCTGAGGCAAAACTCTCTTATTAAAACATTATAACATTAAACCTGATCAAAACACTAAAAAAATATATTAAACATTAAGGATCGATATGAATCGATCACCACCATGTTATCTACTCGATCGTACATAATATGGAGAATAATTAATTTATAATTAATTTATAATCAAACATTACTTCCTAGAATATTACGTAATGTTCGTTGTCGCCTATTTATATGAAGAAGAAAGTACACTAATCATACAAAGATACGTGTTTACGTTATTCTTTTTTAAACTAATTACAACATGGTCTTATTCAAAGATCTGAATTATTGCATAATTAAAGACATAGAGGAGACTTCTGTACCATATACTCCGTATGAGACAACATGATGAATGTTTTACATTTTTTTAAAAAACTAAATAAATTGATTAAGATTTAAGATTATTGAATGAGAAAGGTTTCTTATTAGAGAAGTTAAGGTGAATAAAGTGGAATAATAATATAGCTAAAAGTATACAAGTGAGACAGAATATATAATCTCTTATAATCGTCAGTAGCTTAAATAGCTTATATAGATGAGGTACAATAGAGGTTCAATGATATAATCACGAAAACTAATTAGACGCCTGACTACTTTCCCCTTTTGCTCATGACAATATCTTCATGTTAGGTTTTGAGTTTTGACATGCATATATATTAAGGAATTCAGTTGGATGAAGTGCAATGTCGTCGTGAGAAAAAAAAAATAATAAATGTAGGGAGAGGTCCACATCATATAAGTTGAATAAGACTACTTTTTATACATAACTAGAAGTGGTTTTATACACCTGGATGCACGGTGTACTCAAGAGTATTTTTTGCTCATTTTGATGATTATAGCTCATTTTATCATCAAATGAATAAACAAAAACCCTTGTGTCTACCGTACACCCGGGTGTATATAACAATCTCATGCGTATATATATACTATATTTATATATTAAAAAAAAAAAAGATCACTTAAAAGAATACAAGAATATTATTATTATTATTATTATTATTATTATTATTATTATTATTATTATTATTATTATTATTGAATGAATGAGTAAAAAAGATCTTTAACCTTTATTTATTTATTTTTTTGTGAATAGTAATATTATTTCAATAATAAAAAATAATATCATACCAAATCTATACAGAAATTTAAATTTAACAAATGCAAAACATATTGAATCAAATTAAAAAATTATAATGATCAAGACTTTCAAATAGATCTTACACTGTGTAAGTAATATCCTTTTATTCAAAAATACAGTCTTATAAGAGAGGCAATCTCACGTTTCTTTGTAGTCACGTGGATGTTTTTCATCTAATGGTTGTATTTGGAAAATTGGTAACTTTAGAAAACCTGCATTATTGATGTAAACTTTGGTATCTTACATATTAATTTTGTATTTTCCTAAAAAAACATTTATTCTGTATCTTAATAAGGTGTACTGTGTTTAAAATTCACAAAATCATAATTTAATGCATATATTGGATCGTAAAGCAACTGATTAATCAAAGAAAAGATGTTATAACACTTACTGCACATTGATGTATTATTAAGAATTTTTTTTTTTTTTTAAACAACTTAATGTTCATCTTGCGTAATGTATACTAACTACAAGTCTACGACTAAGGAAGCTACTTTATGAATCTTTATTCCCTTTTTCAAAAAGACATGCATCAAATCATTAACCTCTTAAAATTGACCATGCATATATTAATTAAGTGTTAATATAATATGGATAATATAATGTAGGTTACTCTGATCCATATTTTTATAGATATTGAAAAAATAATTTAAGAGTTAAAAATTTGACTAATAAAAAAAGTATATGGAATTATCCCAGAAAAAGAACTTAAGATATGAAAACAAGAAATGAAAAGGTGATATTCAAAAAATGTATGTACTTGTATTAGTAATGATCGGAACCTCATCTCTTGGGTTGGAGGAGGTGAATCTTCCAATTAATTAAGTACCAACAAAATTTTAAACAATTATTTGAAAATGAAGGAAATACTTATAGAGAATATGTATATTTAGTAATTAAATTTTTTGGTTTTTAATAAATAATTGAAGTATAAAATTTTGATAATAAGAAATTATGTGTAGAAAAGAATCTATGAAGATTTTACATGATAACTTTTTTACTTATAATCTTACTTCGTCTCAAAAATAATTAACCAGCCTACACTAACACAACTCTCCGCAAGAGGAGGTCAGCGATATTAGCGGGGAAAGGAACATAAGAAAATGGCCGCTAACCGAAAGTCAATGCATGCATGCTTAACTATACTTTGGTTCATTATTTCATGTGAAGTTTCCTAATTTAGTAATTTGTACCAAAAAAAATCTATAAATACCCCTTCTAAACTACAAACCTAAACATCCAAAAATCTTAGCTTTCTCTTGTTATTCATTCATAAAAATAACCTTAAAATTCCTCTTCTTTTCTCTCCTTTAATTTGTAGCAAAATGGCCAATATTAAGGCTATGTCATTGCTTTTGGCTTTCCTCGTTGTTGCTATGCTTGTCTCTGAGGTAATTATATATAGCCAGACCAATTTTAAGATATTATTTTCTTTAATGAAATAGATTGTAACTTTAATTTGTAGCTTATACTAATATCAATTTCTTGATTTTGTCAGGCTTTTGCTGGGACCAACTACTATGGGAATAACAGTTTGAAGCTTTCTCGTAAGTTATAGAGCTTATGTTTTCACGTCACAAAATTGTTTTTTTACGTACTCTTTAATGCCGAGTCTATGAATGTTGTGAAATGACTAGGAACGACTTGTGCATGCATGCATACGTGACAATTTAACATTACTACCATCATAAAATTATATAATCTCTTGTCTTAATAGTTTATATCTTGAATTCTTGATCCTATTTTTGTCCGTGAAATTTTGTTATAATTCTGCTAAACGAGACAAGCATCATGATCTTAATAAAAACATGCTAACTTCAAACGTTACCAAAATGTAAAAAGGAGTCATAATTAAACATTTTAATCACGAAATTCCGTATTGGCCTAGCTAAGTCCTACAAACAGTGGCGGAGCCACCCTTTGCACGGTGGGTCATGTGACCTAGCACAAAAACAGAGAAGGTTTAAATATTAAATATTGCAATTGATAATGATATGTACTCCGTAGTCTAATGGTGGAGGCTTCATATTTTTAGACTAAACATAATGTAATTATACAAGTAAGTGCTTAGTGTTGTAATGGTGGGAGGCATTGTAAATTTTGCCAAAGGTTATGGGTATGACTCCTAAGGACAACGTTTTTTTTTGTTTTTTTTTTTCCTTTTTACATATATCTACCACTACCTACTTAGTTCTCAAACTGGTAAATTGTTAAAGTCATTGTTCGAAAAATTTTTGGTAGTTTCATTAGCGACTTGTCATTATCCTTCCCCTTCCCCGTAACATTTAATATTTTTGGAATGTCTTTTTTTAATTAACTTTTAGAATATTAATGCATTAATTATGATTGGTATGCGGTTGATGGGTAATGGTGACCTAGCACCCGTAAAATCCTGGATCCGCCACTGCCTACATATATTGCGGATATAGTTTTGGGAATATATTCGGGAACATTTGTAACATTACTAAATTGATTTGGTTATGAATTTGAACAGAATGCCCGGGACGTTGTAAGCAAAGGTGCTCAAAGGCTAGAAAAACCGAAGAATGCAAGTTCTTTTGCAACAAGTGCTGCGCAAAATGCCTTTGCGTTCCACCAGGTACATTTGCCAACAAAGAAGTCTGCCCTTGCTACAACAACTGGAAGACTAAGTTAGGTGGCCCCAAGTGCCCTTAATTAATATGAAATTCTAAAATTACTAGCTATATACGTACTTAATTACTATATTATGCTTATTTTTATGAGCTAGTACTAATTAAGTATTAGTTAGTACTAGAATATGTAAACTTTTATATTGTGATTTCGAATTATTACTACGAATCACTACTTCCTTATTAGCTAATCATCCCATCGCTTCATTAAGGGGTATATTTGTTGTAAACCCTTCAATTGAGAGCGTTATATGGCAATTAAATTGTTCAATGGATTGATCGTTATATTACATTTATATATACAATTCCAAAATGTTCTTTCAATATTGGTATAATTATAGCTCGGTTGTTATTATTGTAAATTCATAACATGAATAACACTTAACATAACATAACAGAGGGGAAAATCAATAATTAATTAAACATGAATAACACTTAACCAAAGCACAAAAATATAAAACCATGCATGTTATCTACTTGCTGGTAATATGGAATAAGTATATAGTTAGTGATTAAACATTGCTTCCGTAGGATATTACGTGATATTGTCGCTGATTTTGTGAAGAAGAAAGTACATTAAAGAATAATGTTACATAGATACGTGCTTATGCATGTAAGGGAGTAAGGGACATCCAAAGAAAATCCGTTTAAAAAACTAAATCAGGGACATGTAAGTAAGTAAGTTACAGAGTGATTGTCAAAAAAAAAAAAAAAGTTACAGAGTGACTTATGTATCAATATACCATATACTCCATAGTAATAATTAGTTTGAATTAATATTATTCAAGCACACAATATTTTCTATATGTAATTTCAATAGAGTGGAAAAGTATAATTAATGTTAATTTTCTTGGGAAAATACAAGTTAATCTGCCAGATAAACAAATTTTTGTTAATCTGATGGCATTTTTGTAAATATATATTGAAAAAGCAGGGTCATTTATTCGGTACTTTTGGTGAGCTGTCCAATTACTGTTTGCTTTTTGCTTTTACTGTTTGGTGAGGAAATTATACATGTACCCCTGAACTAGTACATGAAAAGACGCATATACTAGTACTTGAAAAGACAATTATACCCCAGATAAACAAATTTTGTTTATCTGGGGAATTAACTGGGTATTCCTCGTTTTTCTTTGTAAACAGATACATCCTATATGCATTTTTGACCTAAAGAATTAAATTCAAAAAAAATATTAAAAAAAAAAAAGAATGAGAGAGGGGGGGGGGAGACAAAAAAACACAAAATTTCATATGTGGTTGGCCACACCGTGCGACCATCCATAATTTTATTTTTTATTTTTTTAATTCTTTTTCTCTCTCCTCTTTTCTTCTTCTCCAAGCTTAGAAAAAAAAAAAGACATCTTGATTTTCTCTCTCCTCAAACACTTTTCACACTCCCATCATCTTCTCTCTCTTAAAACCATCAATTTTTCTCTAAAATCTATTGTAACTACTCCAAAATTCAAGCAATTTTGTTCTACTTTTTCTCAAATTCAACAAATTTTAGTCAAACTTACATATAAACAAGTTGAAGTGACCAATTTGATTAGAATTTTTGCAACTACGAACCCTATTATGACAAAAGAACAAATTGAAGAAAATTTGAATGGAATGAGGTAAAGAACAATAAACTCGTACAGAATTTTGGTCTCAAATGCAAAGGTAAGTTATACTCCAAAATTTTCGAAGAATTTGATGATTTTTTAGGCGATTTTTGATTAATATTTTTTTTTAACAATTTTAATGATTATTAGTGGTACGGGAGTTGGTGGAGGTGTGGTGGAGTTTAAGGTTTTGAGGATGGCGGTTGAGAAAGGTTGGTGTTGATGGTGGTTATGGTGGGTTTGGGTGTGTGTTAATGGTTACTAGGTCGGGGGCTACTAGGGGTTACTAGGTTGGTTCGGGGTTACTAGATCGGTTAGGGATTACTAGGTAGGGGGTTACTAGGTCGGTTAGGGGTTACTAGGTAGGAGGTTACTAAGGGTTACTAGGTCGGTTAGGGGTTACTTGGGGTTACTAGGTCGATCAGGGGTTACTAGGGGTTACCAAGTCAGTCAGGGGTTACTTGGTCAAGGGTTACTAGGTTGGGGGTTACTAGGGGTTACCAGGTCAGTCAGGGGTGACTAGGGATTACCAAGTTAGTTAGGGGTTACTTAAATGGGGTTACTTGAGGGGTTACTAGAAGGGTTACTAATATAGCACCTTGCGGCACCGTGCGGCCAGCCGCACCAGAAACGCGCTACAAAAAAAAAGAACAAAGATATTTCTACTAAAATCTTAAAATCCTATTCACTCCAAAAAAAACAATAGAAATCCTATAAATATCTCTAATTTATTTTAGAAATAAAAATATCTTTCTAAATTTCACAAACAAATAATCTTGTTTGATGATATCTACTACGTATATGTAAATGCATGATAAATGTCTAACGTGTACCTAATAATTATTTTGATAATGAAATACGAGTAGCATTCTCTTCTTGAAAATATCCGTAAAGTAGATCGAATAGTTAAATTGAATTCCATAAAGAAAAAAAAAAAAAAAAAAAAAAAAAGCTCCAATATACTATTTCGTACGATATGAGCTTTTAGGCTGGTCACATGAAAACAATATCCAAAACAGAATGAAACAGATCGAACATAACTTTGAATTTCCATTTCCTTTTGGGCGTCATTCATGAATGTACTTGCATTATACTAGTATTGCATGTGCTTAACTTCATATGGGAGCACATTCTTCCACTCTCTACTCTTAAATGGGCCCTAGCACTAGATGCAATTATAAGCTTCACCTTTCATCATTCTTCGTTTGCCTAAATTTTATTTAGGACCATTAATGAATTATTTATCACCTCCTAATTTTGCCTAGCTTGATACAATTAAGGAGTATTATGGATTTTACTTACCTAAATACAACTTAATTACAAGCAGTTTAACATGATTGTGATGGATGTTTAGACACTAGCTAACACACATTTTGTATTAGGCTTTGTTCTTTTGAGTTGACTAAACTAAACTGAACTGAATTAAAGTTGAAAAATGAACTCAGACTGAGATTATTTTCATTTCAGTTTAGCTCTAATAAGTTCAGTTTACTTCAGCTCCTAATTTACTTCTCTCATAAAATATTCATTTCGGTTAAGTTCAGCTCTAATAAGTTCGGTTCAACTCATTTCAGTCAATGAGAACAGAACCTAAGTTGAGTTATGTTGATCAGATTAAAGTGACCTAATTTGAAATAGGTTCAAACGAACAAGATCTTAGTATTCTATTGATTTATACAGAGTACATAATTAACTGTCTTGTGGAGAATTTTGGTGGCACAATTAGCTCTCCCTAGTATTGTATGTCTAATAAATAAAAAATGTGTGTAACACTATGTCGCATTATTCATCTCTATTTATTTGCCTTAGGCGTATTCTAATTTATTGAATTGAGTTGAACTGAACTGAACTAAACTGAACTTAATTAAACTGAACTGAATTGTTTATGAGAGAAAGAAATTAGAAACTAAACTGAACTGAATTGAGCTAAGGGCCTGTTCCGATTGACTGAACTGAACTGAACTTATTAATTAGTGATTTTTAACTACGGATTAGTGATCTTTAATTATTTATTGATTATTTATTACTATACATATGTGTATATACAAATGTACATATTAATAATAATAATAATAATATTATTATTATTAGTAGTAATTATTGATTATTATTATTATTATTTATTGATTATTATTATTAGTATTATTATTTCAATTATTATTGTTATTATTATTATTATTTATTGATTATTATTATTATTTATTACTTATTGATTATTATTATTATTATTATTATTATTATTATTATTGTTATTATTATTATTATTATTGTTGTTGTTGTTGTTGTTGTTGTTGTTGTTGTTGTTGTTGTTGTTGTTGTTGTTGTCGTCGTCGTCGTTGTAATAAGAGCTTAAAAGAATGAAATTTGGCTTTATATAATTAGTAATATCATTAGACGTAAATTAAGAGCTGAACTGAACTGAACTGAAATGAATTGAACTGAACTGAATTTCAACGGAAGAGAACAAGCCCTAAGTTGATCTGAACTGAATTGAGCTAAGCTGAACTGAATAATATAAAAGAAATATCACTAACTCCAAGCATAAATTGAATAATCTAAAACTTTAACTACTTAAATAAGTTCACATTGGGAAAAAAGTATGAACATATAAGCAAAACTTTATCACAAAATCAAAGTATATATAATGTACTTATTCTTTATCCAATTAGTCATGATTTTCACATTACAGTTAAATCTAATTTTATATAATCAGCTCTAAATATATCAATCTAACCCAACCCCAAAACTTATTTTATGAATATGAGCATAACGCATCCGTCCTCATTAACATCAAATGATGGTGATTTTGTCACACAATGTATGTAAACAAAAAATAGCTGATATTATACGATATTTAATTCAAAGATAGGGTATAACAGAAACAGTTGACGTATTTAGCTTTGCGATCTTCCAAATTGTGTGTGAATAAGGATTTTTCTTGATTCATTTATGTTGGAAAATAATAATTCACCGTCAAATTCGAGATTTGCAGTGTTATGGGCCCACAATCCCATTTTCATGAATTAACTCACTGAGAGTCACTGTCCAATGACCATGTTATTGTTAGCTTCACAGATCTTGTAGTTGTAGGACTCAATTTATCCTTGGCCATAATTTATTTGTTTTTACTTATTATTTATGGGGTCACATTATTTTATTTATTTGGAAAATTCTTTTTAATTTTGTAAGTATATTTTTTGAAAAACATGGTTTGATTGGTTGTGTTTCTTCGTTACTAGTTAAGCAACATGTAAAGTACTACGTATAAAATACTCCCTTACAAGTTACAAGAAATAGATACGGAGTATATAACAAGTTTAATGATCTATTAATATGGTTACAAAAATTGTTGTCAGAAGGAGGAAGATAATGTACAAAGAAACAACTTCTAACTCAACTAGTTTGGCTTAGTGAGAGTTTTGTACGTCCATGAACAAATGAAATACTGTTTAATTTTACGGATCATGTCGAAAATAAAATTACATAATACGATAACTTTAGCTCTTATTTGACATTAGCTTTTTAAATAGTACCTAGCATTTTGATTAGCTAGTGAGTATTATTCGTCCAATACATCTTAGGAGTTTATTTATAGTTATTCTAAACTAATAACAAAATAAGCTAGGTCCATATAAAAAACGCAAAGAATTCAGTATACTCCAAAATAAATAAATGGTGTAACAAAAACCATTTGTTCCAAGGCATAGAGGTTATATAGAGGACAAATATATTTAATTCAAAGCATATTCTAGCATGTAATTTCACATATTTTATACTCCATTTGTAAACAACTTTTACATCGATCACTTAGCATACGTACAGCCCTTGGCTAAATTTCAATGGGAAGGTGATACACAAGTCTCTTTATTAGTCTATATGTAAGGTCTAAGGTGTAAGGAATATTCCCATATAGACATTACATATAGACAATCATTATATTTATTTTGCGAAAAATATAAAGAGTAATTGCACTTTTGCGCGATTTGCTCAAAACAATCTGACCTACACAAAATTTGGAACCTTTAACCCCGTATGTATAACGATCATTAAAAAGTACTTGATCCGTTCATTTTGCTGGTTTGCCTGGTTACTACGCTTTTTCTTTAACACAAAAAAAAAAAAAAAAAAAAAAAAAAAGAAATAACCAACAAATAGGAACGTAGGTAGTAGTTCACAAAAACCTTCTTTAGTTAGTTTTTACAACTCAACAATTGCTCAAATTACCAAATTAAAATCCCTCTAATACAATATTCCATAACAAACATTTCAAGGGAAAAAAAATCTCCAAGCATTGCGTTTTTGTAGTTATGCGTATATGTGGTAGATTATTATTATTATTATTATTTTAATATTTTAATTTTAATTTAATTTTTTTTTTTTTACATTAGTATGCATATGTGTGGTAGATTGAGGACACTAGGTTTGATTGATACGATCTTGGAAAATTGACACTCCTCCTAGCTATTTAACTAAATCACAAAATATTTTGGTCTCATAGTGGAAGTGTTAAACTTTTAGATTGCCAAAATCACTTTCAGCAAATTGACTATACACATGGAGATTAAACAAATAAACAAAATACAAAATTATCTTTGTTTGACATAGAGTACTTGTTTCCGATCGTTGGTGTAAACAAAATTGCTAAATATTTAGTACAATATCAAATACCAAATCCAAACCACAATTTGCACAATAAATACAACCTCCAATTCAAATTAATTGAAACAAAAAAATATTTTATCTCTCACAAAATAATAACCTTTTGTTGCAATTAATATGAAATGGGAGTAGTATATGATCTTCTTCAATTAGATTTTGCAACCTCATAGGATGTTCAACCTAGTTCACTAGCAATTATCTTGCACTTAAAACTCTAGTTTAAATTACCTTAAATTTCAACTTGAATTCAAAACTTGTTCTATGTTTATAACATTTATGTGCTAATTTTTAGCCTCTCAATAAAAATATCATGTACTCGTATAATATATAGTACGGAGTAGTTTTATTAAAATAAAGTGAGTTTACAAACTAGCAAGCTGAGGTTCATATTTATAACTATTTTTGAGCTATTTTTTAGCCTTCTCACCAAGAAATAAAGTGAGTTTACAACCTAGCAAGCTAAGGTTCATGATCTCACATAATTGCAACATACTCAAACAAATCAAGGTACAGTATACAAAACGAACATCCCTACTCAAACACTAAATAACTATAACTACAACTACTCGATACTTACCAGTTACCACCCTTCATTAACATTTAACCAAAAATGTTAAAGACAACAAATATTAAGGACAAAAAAATAAATAAATTAAAATAAAAGAAAAAGAAAAAAAACATAGAGCAAATGGTGGTAAAAGATGATAATTTAGACAATTTTATAAAAAGTAGGGCCACAAAGAAAAAGTGTCCTTATGGGGCAACTCAACTTGGGTGTACCTATTCTATCTATAAATACCCTTTTACTCACACTATCTTACTCATTCCAACTTAACTTCATTTCTTGTTTTTTCATTCAATACTATACTACCCTTTAAAATCTCATCTTTTTGTTCAAATATGGCCAATTTTAAGGCTCTTCCTCTCCTTCTTTTGGCTCTCATTGCCTTTTCCATGCTTGCTACTGTGGCCTTGGCCAACAATCCTTATGGACCCGGAAGTTTGACGATTAACCGTAAGTAACCATTTATACTCGTGTTCTTTTCGTGTCATGTTATTTCGCTTTAAAACGAAGGCTATATAGCTAACTGTTAGTGTTATTTTTGTCTTAAAAGACATTGACAATTTTTGAGCTATATATTTTGATTTATCACGGCTTTCTTAGTGATATTCTAATATTGTTACGGTCAATTCATAAAAGACTTTGGTCACTGTCACACAATATTACCAAATCTAATTTTTAGTACACTAGTCCTTTTGCCAATAATGCTAACAATCTAACATAGTACTCTCATAATTAATAAAAATCGAATGATAGTACTATATTTTATTATTTTGTCAGTATATTTTCAGAATCACGAGTATTAAAAAAATTCGATATCAACATAAACAACTATTAAAGTATTAATCAATTCATAACGACAGAATAATGCTCTGGCAAAGTATTTAAACATTAAATTTAGATTGACTAGTGTCTTAGAATTTTGAATGGAACAAGATCGGATAAACCGATTACTCTATGTTATAAGACCGTCTCATATAAGACTTGTTCAGTAGATAATCGTTACAAGTTTAGTGGAAAACAGAATTGATACACATTTGCTTAAAGTTTATTTGTTGGTTTGTTTGAAAACAGAATGCAGTCCACAATGTACAAGGAGGTGCTCGAACACTCAATACCGCAAACCATGCTTGTTTTTCTGCAACAAATGCTGCAGGAAGTGCCTTTGTGTTCCACCAGGCTTCTATGGCAACAAGCAAGTTTGCCCTTGCTACAACAACTGGAAGACCCAACAGGGTGGCCCCAAGTGCCCTTAATTTCTTTTACGAGAACTACTTACTTCCTCCGTCCCAAATTAAATCGTTACATGTAGTATGAGTCGTGTAACGACAACAAAACAACAACAACAACGTATGTACTAAATTGGGACAGAGGGGTTCTACTACTTAATTCTTGAGGCTAATTATTAATATCTCATTAGTACCAAATATATGTAATTTTCTTAATTATTTATGTTGGTGTACGTTATTATTATACCTAAGTTTTTTATATAATAAAATATATGTAACGATCCATTGGGGGTGATGGGTTATGTATCCCTCCAATTGAGAGCGTAAAATGGCTGATAATTTTGGCCATTTATCTGTTAGACACACTTACTAAAATGTTGTCTAACATTATTATTAATTTATTGAATGAAAAAGTTAAAGAATATTTTCAGCTTTTTACTCATTTTATAATCTTTGACCGTTGTCCATTGTCTTTTTAATCATGCATTTGTTACCGTGAACTGTGAGAGGGCGGTGATCTGCCATGACACGTGAAAGTCTGAATAAAAAATGAATGCCAAGCTAATACCAGCGTACTAATAACTACCAACAACTAGTAAACCATGTTTGGTTCATAGTACTGCAATAACAATGTGGGTAAACAACCAAATAGGGTAAACATTGAGGAATGGTAAATATCAAAATGTTACTCCGTACTTTGCTTTTCACGAGTATCAAGTTGAATTTATTTACTGATTTGTTGGTTTTAGTATTTGTTGAGGTGTTCATTTGGTTTTTCATTTGAATTTGAGAATGATTGATTCAATAAATAGCATGATTTGATTTTGATAGATATTATACTTGTGATAATATTTGTCGCAGATTAGCATAATATTTGTATATTTTTTGTATCCTTATCATAGTAAGATTATGAGTTTTGCAAAACTTAAGGTCTGTTCTCTTCAGCTTACTTTCAGTTCAGTTCAGCTCACCTCTAATCAGTTCAGTTCAGTTCAATCAGAATAGGCCATTAATATATATTGATCAATGGTACACACTTTATTGAGGAGTTTTTCCCGAAATCTAACATATTATCAGAGCTGTAGGTTTAGAGATTTGTACTTTCGTATTTGGCTTGTTCAAACATATGGAGTATTCTTTTGATTCTTTTACTTCAAATTAATCCCTTAAAAGTTAAAATGTGTTTTAAAGTACGAGGTAAAAAATTAGGAAACGTAACCTAACAATTTGATTTAGTTTGAGCTTATATTTTTAATAACCAACACATTAATTCCTTTTTAATATTTAGTTTGAGCAACTTTTATTAAACTGTTCGTCTATTGTATCAAATCTCTTCGTCAAATATTGTGAATGATGAAGATTTATGTTTCAAGTATTTATTAAAAGGAGAAATAAATATTACCAAATAACCATAAATTACTTCTATCTCTTACTCAGTATTAATTACAACAAATTGTTTTTTTTATATCTCACAAACAATAATTTTTTTTTAAAAATAATAAAAATTAGAGGTAGAGTCTGTGATCTCTTTAGCTTAATTTCAGTTCATTTCCTAATTTTCTTCTTTCATAAACAATTCATTTCAGCTCTACTTCAGTTCGGTTCAGTTCCGCTCAAATCTGTCCAGTTTAACTCAGTTCAGTAAATCAGAAAAGACTCTATTTTTTTTTTTTTTTACATATAAGTAATCTAATTCCTCAAAATGGTAGGAAAATTTCTTTGACTAAGGCCGTATTTCCTTCACCAAAGTAAAGATGCATAATGAAGGAAGACTGCCATGGAAAAGGAAATGAAGTGAAAAATCGCGAGAGACGAAGGAAAAAAAATGGAAAACTAAAAATTAAAAATCTTATAAGTTGATTATTGGCTTAAAGCCTAAGATGATTAATCTTATAAAAGGTTGGGTGTTCGAATGTCCTTATCCTCATGTTTAATAGCTCATAAAATAAGAAGGTAAAGAGTAATAAAATTGTAAACCCACACGCAATGTGCTAAACTGCTAATCCAACAAGCCCAAGTGTCTCTCTGAGCTTTATTACTTGAAATAAAAGTGTACCTTAAGAAAGCCCAATCCAATATCCTAAACATCTACGTAGTAAAAAAGTATCAATTGGCTCATAAGATAAACCATTATCATAGATTGTGCTTAGCAAAGCTCTTATACTTCTATTAACTCTTGGAGCTTCTTGATTCTCATAAATTTTACTTGGTATCACCTTGAGATTTTGTTTTTGATCCTAAACTAGTTGCCACGGGCGATGTAATTCCCTTATCTTCCCCCTCTATCGTCCCAAGAGCCCGAGTATGCATAATTGAACTATTTAAACTACCAGAGGTTTTTGGCTACTTGATGTTACTAGAGTAACTTATGAAATATAGTTAAATGTCATAATATGCACCAAAATAATCATCCTAACGTTATGTGCTGAGGGTTTGAGTGGTATGTCAAACTCTAGTAACATTGGTTTATACAACTAATACAACTATACAAGTATATGTATTACTTAAAATTGAAACATGAGGATAAATACTATTTTCGTTAAATGTTATGTGTAATTATAGAATATTTAATGGAGGTAGTATTTAAAGTCTTAAGAGGATACAAAAGGTTTGAATTTTGAGTTGAGGCTGGGCTACAAGTTGCCAATAAATGTATTACTGGTACAATAAATATCGTGGTAAATTGAAGGCAAAGTAAAGCGGCAAGGCCCACAGGCCCACAATATTTACACTTGCGCTGTTAGTTTTTGTCTGCATACCAAAATTTAAGCCCAGGGAATGCGCAAGTCATGACAAAGGCGAAAACCCAATACAGAGTATAATAACAATTCAAAGTTTCAAACGTACCGAAGTACTGGTAACTTAGGGTATGTTCTCATTTACTGAACTCAGCTGAATTGAACTGAGCTGAACTAAATTAAACTGAATTGAACTGAGCTGAATTGAACTGAACTGAAATGAATATTTTATAAGAGAAGGAAATTAGGAACTGAACTGAGCTGAACTGAACTGAGCTGAACTGAACTGAACTGAACTGAATTTCAACGTAAGAGAACAGGCCCTTAGTAAGCGTTTAACTTGATAAGCGTTTAAGGTAGAGGTTAACATGTTGACTAGATCAAAATATTACTTGGAAAAAAATATATAAGAGTGTTACATAAGATAGTGGTTTAGGTAGTGATCAATATGCCACATGGCAATGGCAAGTGAGAAAGTTTTTGTGAATTAGCACGGCATTCATCCTAAATTCAATTGGTGAAGGTATGAGTATAACTTGAATAGCAATGTGCCAATGTGATATGAATTTCAAAATAACTCATATTGACAAAAAAATAGTAGGTAATCCGGTAATGGATCTATTCGAAATATAAATAAATAATTTCTGCATCCACCCGCCTACGTGATCCCAACTTATAGCCACAACAATTTCATAAGTTTCTTTTGCTAAAAACAAACCCTCCCAATCGGGCACAAGTGGATAATAAGTGGGCTCAAGCAAGTAAAAATGTACGAAGTATTTTTGTAATGGTAAGAAGATGAGTCCTATTAGACCGGAATCTCTTATAAGTTTAATCTGATCCTGGTTAATGGACTAGATAATTTGGGAGAAGGGGAGGGGGAGGGAAGGGTAAGAGCCCTACACCAAATTGTCCCTACGATGGAGTTTGATCCTATAACCTTTTAATTATTACTAGACTAAGCTTTGTTTGGTTTTCATTATATTGGTTAAGCAAATGTATACTTAGTAATTAAATTTATAAATACTTGAGCAAACATGAATGTTGTAGATCTACCCGGCATGAATGTTGGGTGTATAATTTATAGACCCACCTCACATGTTTTCATCCCTAGCTAGTTACATACACATGGAGATGAAGTAGACCTATGGAAAAGAAAACGATGGACTATTGGACTATATAATTATGAAATAAAGGTCCCTTATATTACTTTGAGGTAGGGCTGGTAATTTCACCCGAATTCATGGATAACCGAACCACCCGACCCGATTGAATGGATGAAAACCCAACAAAGTATGGATTTTATATGGATGGTGGATGGATCGGGTGACGGATCGAGTCGGATTCGGATGGAGCATCATTTATCAGTCACCCGACCCATCCATCTATCAAGGTCCCTTATATTACTTTGAGGTAGGGCTGGTAATATCACCCGAATTCATGGATAACCGAACCACCCGACCCGATTGAATGGATGAAAACCCAACAAAGCATGGATTTTATATGGATAGTGGATGGATCGGGTGACGGATCGAGTCGGATTCGGATGGAGCATCATTTATCAGTCACCCGACCCATCCATCTATCCCCTTATATTTTTTTTAAAAAAAATTACAAATGTTTTATTATTTTTTTTTAACCTATTTGTAATACTACACAAACATATATGACTTCGTATATAGAACTATAATAGTAATATTAGTTAGACTTCGTATAATAATGTGAATATTGGGAAATATAAAGATTTTGTTGGCTATATATCAAATTCTTAGTTTATGTATATTAGTATTATAAATAAACGATGGTGTCTTTTATTTCATCCATCATTCACCCGATCCACCCGATTCATCCGCAAATGATGAACGGGTTGGATGTGGATGAAAATTTAAATGGTGATGGATGGGTTGGATAAATGACAAATGGATAGTTGGCGGATGGAGGTGGATTGAGCTCCACCCGATCCACCTCCCCCCGATTCACCTCCGATCCTTTACGTACCAACCCTATTTTAAGGTGAGCATATCTCACTCATCAACACCCTTTATCTCACAAGGGCCTCAATCAATTTTCCTCAATTTTGAAGGTTCTTGAAGAAAATTAAGGGATAGAAAGAGAAAAGAAAAAAAAATGATTGAAAGTACCTCAAATATCGTACTTAGTTTGATATTGGGTTTAATTTAAAATTATTCAAGCAAACTTAACGCTATTATGGGTTCTTTAATGATTGAAATCATATAAACTAGGTCGAGCATGTAATATTTTACTTATTGTTCTTAAAATCTTTTCCTCAAACAATAGCAAAGAACTCACTAATGAAATTTTTCTTTTTTTAAAAAAAACATTAAGCTATCCTCCAATTCAAATAAAAAAAATAATAAATTGCAAATTTTCACAGATCAATCCAACTTGAATTAGTGACAGAGCTTTGTGGGAGCGGGGGAAAAGGTCAAGGAATTCCTAGCCTAATAAGGGCGTGTTCATGTTAGCGTTTGATTAGCTTTTAGGTAGCTTTTAGTGGTTGACTAAATCAAACCACTACTTAACAAAAAATGTGAGTGTTTGGCAAAATAGTGGTTATGGTAGCTTTTAGTGGTGGAGGTAACTTTTATGAAAAGTTAGAAAGATTAGCTTTTGAAATTAGAGGTAGCTGTTGAAAACTTAATCTATAGTTTTAAAATTAAAATATTGATTTTTTATATGTAACAGCTAGTCAACCGCTACTTTACTGAATACTCATATCTAAATTATTTATCTTTACAGCTAACAGCTTGTTGACAGCTTACAGCTACCTACACAGCTAACAACTACATCCACAGCTACAACTATCTTCACAGTCATATTTTACCGAACACGCCCAGTTATCTGACTACCTCTAGTAAAATCTGATCTACAATTTTCATGATTCAGAGATAAGGAGTACAATTTAACTACTAAAGCAACTAAGCAAGTACTACTCAGTGTATACATCATGTAATTACCTACAATGCTTTAGCTTCTAATTTACAGATAAATCTTAGGATTACATTGATCATTTTTTCTATACAAAACAAAAAGAATAGGTAGATGTTTTAAATTAGGTGCTAGAGTAGTTAGTTTAGTTAAGTGGATAGTTGGATACAGGATACTACTACTACCTCCCCAACTCCAAAATCATGGTAATTAAAAATTAAAACTTTCACGCCTTACGTTGGCACGTCAACTAATTTGCATGAGCAAACTGAATCAATTCATGAGACTTCCTCGTGATTCGTTGATACTTTATACTGTACTGTTCTCATGGCCCATGACATAATCATTTGTCTACGAGCAAAATTTTTTAATTCGTTTGTATTTTGAATTATAATCCTAATCACGAGCTTCACTTTCATCGTTGTTTGTTTCGGTTTCCTCACCCGTAATCGGAGTATTCAACACATCTGTTGAGAGGCAAATTGAGTAATAGATTGGATCGTTAATGTAGGTTATGCGCATAATATTCCACTTGAAAGTGGGGAGGTGGATATTGTTTTTACAAGGACCCGATGACCCAACTCCAAGATCCAAAGCTCGAGTATATAACCCGCTTTGCTCCTATCGGCCAGATGAGAACCTATACACATAAAAGAGATTAGCTAGTCCCGGGGTGAATCCAGGGATAACCACTCCGATGATTAAGTCAGTAAATATTTAGAAGATGAAAAGAAGAGACGAAATTTAGAGAGAGAAAGAAGAAAGAGAGAGAGTGTAATAAATCTTATGAGGTAAAACCTGATTATTTATAGCTTGATTAAGTGACAGGTGGCTGCGTAATATGCAAAGTAATTTTCGCCACGTGTCAAATTTGAGGACGACACGTGTCAGTTGCCGATAAGCCGATATGTTCACTTATTCCATAAATGCCGATATGAACCAGAATAGCTGGTGAACCGGATCCGAGTAAGATATCGACCTACCATAAAATATCGGTCTAATGTAAATATCTTCCCATACAGATATGATTCGAACCCGTGACCTAAGTGTTAGGCCGGCTCTGAAACCATGTTAGAGAACCAACTCAACCAAAAGCTTTAAACTTATGAGTTGGTTTTTTAACAATATTGACATTGTAATAGCTCTACCTTATTCCCTATTCTTTCTTCAGATACGTTAGTAATTTCCCTCGTGCGGAGGACTTCCTTATGTTATTTTCCATACATAAAAAAAAAAAACCCTAATAGTTGTTTGTTATCCAAAATATAATTAAATTTATTTATCTTATCATGATAAGTTTAGTAGAAGAAATTGTTTTATACACCCGGGTGCACGGTGCACCCAAGATTATTTATTGCTCATTTAGATGATTATTGCTCATTTAATCATCAAATGAACAAACAAAAACCCTTGGGACTACCTACACGGCTACATCTGGGCGTATATAATAATCTCTTGGTAAAAAGCTTTATTTTTCAATGATCAATGCAATTCAGATCTGTACTTAAGCAGTTTTATGTGAAGTTTCGCTTCCTCTTTTCCTTTAACAAACTCTTACCTATTGATGATTATTTTACACTAAAAACTTATTAGTAACAGTAATGCACTAATACTCATATGAATGATACATTTCTAATTTTATTAACGATCGTGTTGTTTGATGTTCATCACCACACTTATTGAACTAACAAGTAACAAGTCTAACAACTGTAATTATTAAGCTGATTTTTATTTTTTTAATCTTATTAAATTTTACACGTAAAAGAGTAAAAGATGCCAGCTGCTTGCGGAAAGTGACCCATTTGCGTGGAAAAGTCCTCTGAATCGATTCTCTTTTGCTAAAATTTTTCCACTTTCATTAATTAATTTAATTAGTTATCTTTCCTCCAATCAATGCTCTTGCTGTGAAGATTACCCTTTGTGGATTAAAATAATGACTTACATCGAATTGTGAGTAGTTTAATTTTTTAAATATCCTTAGTTTTTAGGTTAAGCTTTAATTTGATCTTAATCACAGAATTGTCGGTCATTATTTTAGCTTTAACTCTACATAGAATACACTCCTAGGTCTCGTACACATTTCTATTGTAACGTACTCCGTATAAGATAGAAACTAAAGATATTGAGAATACGACTTAAATTATCAATATATTGTTTTGTTATAACTTATAAGAATACTTTGTGTTGAAAAATAAACCTCTTAAGTCTCACAACATGTAAGTGTTTCACATTGGTTGAAAAAGAAAGAGTTAAACACTTTATAAGACTAATACTTTGTCAAAACCCATCATCTATCCAATTGTTAGACCAAATTCAATAGAAGGATATGTTGATTAGCATAATATTTATTTTTTAGACAATTAATATTGATAGCTCAAATGCTCAACTCTAAACATTGTAACCTTTTGCTACCTATACAAACCTTATAAAGTACAGTAATTAAGAGTTAGTCATAATTTAACTTCATGTTGCTTAATTAGGACTCCCTCCGTCCCAAAAAAAACGACCCATTTGGCCAAAACTTTGTCCCAAAAAGAATGACCCATTTGCATTAAAACACCACCAATTTGCAACAATATTTGTGCAAAATTAGCTTCCCCATATAAAAATTTCATTTTTCATGTTATTTTATTACTTTCTCTCTCTATTTTTTTACAAACTCCATGTAAATTTATCTTTCCAATATACTTTTACTTCTTTTTACTTAACTTCCTTAATACCCGCGTAATCAACCCAAATGGGCCGTTCTTTTTGGGACGGAGGGAGAATTATTTATACATCCGTTTCAAAATAATTAACACACTAACTTTTTTTTACGTTTAGGGTACAAATTAAGTTTGACTATACTATATTGTTTTATTAACGTATTAAAAACAGATGTTATCAAATCATGTAAAATGTTCTTTAATGAGTATTAATATAAATTTTTATGATATCAATTATGAAGGATTTTTAAAAAAAAATTAGATTAAAATATGGTAATTGCTTATATGTAAGGTTAAAATAATGTAGATTTTATTTTTTCTTTTCTTTTTGATGTTGATATATGGTACGGAAACATTTTTGTTAACTCACAAACTTAACACATTATCTTTTTTTTTTTTTTACAGGAACTTAACACATTATCAAATTGATTACTTTCTGTAGAAAAGTTGCATTTATAAATGAAAAAAATGTATTGTATTAAATTGACAATTCTCCACTTAGGGGGCGTTGTTTAACTCCGTGACTTATAAAACGGGGTTGAATACCAATTGGTTGTTGGTGTAGTGGTGATTGGGACTACACTTGGTAGGGAGGACTCGTGTTCGATCCCCCGCAGCAACAATCGGGAGGGGACTGGAGCCTAACCACTCAGAACTGATCCCCGAATCCGGATTAGCCCAAAGGGTGAACCGGGTAGAACACCAAAAAAAAAAAAACGGGATTGAATTTCATTAAACACATTTGAAGAGGAATTTCCCTCGTATGTTCGTATATCGGTCAAACTGTTACGCCTAAATCAACAATTAATTAATCTCAATATTATAAGAAAATGTATGGCAAATATTTTTCTCCACTTAGGGGGCGTTGTTTAACCCCCTGAATTATAAAACGGGGTTGAATTTCATTACACATTTGAAGAGGAATTTCCCTCGTATGTTCGTATATCGGGTAAACTGTTACGCCTAAATCAACAATTAATTAATCTCAATATTATAAGAAAACGTATGGCAAATATTTTTCAAACGATAATACTTGTACTATAAAAAAATCCAAAAAAAATTGTTAGCTAAACTAAAAAGACACATGGAATGCACAGGAGTATAATAATAATTGAATAAAGGCAACATGCCTTGTTTGTCTCCTTTTTTCTGGTAGGTTGATTAAAAGAGAGACTTTGCACCTGCCTTAATTCCTCCATTTTCAGTCCTTTAAAAGCTTCTAAACAATCAAAATTAAATATAAAAAGGTCTTATCTTTATTTTTTTTTATTTACTATTAGAGTGTGGGAAGCCATGGATTCTCCAATTAGGTAGCTCAGATCAGCTTTTCTTGTAAGTTTTTCATCGACCCACTTCATTTAATTTGATTTCTTGATTACCCTTTTCGAATTTTCTTATATTTCCAACATTATTGATGGGAAAATGTTCATTAATTGTTTATTATATTGTATGAAATTTCCTAATTTTATTATCAAAATGATGTTCACATGAGCTAAGAAATTAATTAACAAACAAAGAAATTATCTTTCTTTTTTGGTTGCAGGTTGCATTTATGTTCATGATTGTGGCTGATTTAGTAAGTTCTGGGTTTGATTTGGAGACATTTTTATATTTCAGTCATTTTTCAAGAGAAATTGGTGATTATTATTTGAGGATTTGCATGTTATGATCTGGCAATTGAAACTTGAAATTGTTGGAGGGTGCTGGTTGATGGGTGATATTGGGAAAAAAAATAATCTGGGTATAAATTCTGAATCTAGGGTTATTTATATAATGTGATTTTTATGGATAATGACCCAATTTAGTGGGTAAGATATGAAATAATTAGAGAACATAGAGTTGAGAACCCTGTAATTATATGTCATTTTGAGAGATTTGATCCCTTTGGGTTGATCTCATAAATTAGACCTTGAATTTTTTTGGAATAAATGTTTTGTGTATACAAAATAAATAGCTATGCCAGAGAAAACCTTGCCATCTCCAAGGTTGCTTCTGAGCATAACAGCCTTTTCCATGTTTTTCCTAATAATATCATCATTTTTTCTATTTCATTCAGTGATTAATCCGTTTATACCGTCTTCGGTTTTTAAGCAATTTGTTGTTGAAAATGAACCTTTTGATTATAAACCCGAAATCAATAATGAACAACCACCTGAACAGCTTCTTGTTGTACCACTACCACCTTCTTCAATAATAGACACCCAAAAGGCAGAGGAAATCCAAGTGGATCCTCATGAAGATACGAGTTCAAATAAGAAAATTGATGTATTGTCCGAAAAGGAGGAATGTAGTCTAGATAAAGCACCCCTAAGGGTGTATATGTATGATATGCCTCCTGAATTTCATTTCGGGTTGTTAGATTGGAAGGGAGGTCCAAACCAAATGTGGCCTGATGTTAGTGATCCAAAGCATGTTCCACGATATCCCGGTGGCTTAAATTTGCAACACAGTATGGAGTATTGGCTCACTCTTGAACTTCTGTCATCTAATGTTAAGAATATAGTTAGACCTTGTAGTGTTATTAGAGTAGAGAATCCTAGTCAGGCAGATTTTATTTTCGTGCCATTTTTTGCTTCCCTAAGTTACAACCGGCATTCTAAAATTTTGGGAAGAGAAAAAGTCAGCCTCAACAGGAAATTACAAGATCAATTAGTGGAGTTCCTGATAAATCGGCCAGAATGGATTAAGTCTGGTGGGAAGGACCACATTATCGTCGCTCATCATCCAAATAGTTTGTTGTATGTGAGAAAGAAGCTGGGTTCTGCTAGATTTATACTTGCAGATTTTGGTAGATATGTTGCTAAAACTGCTAATTTGGACAAGGATGTCATTGCTCCTTACCAGCATATTGTTTCTAGCATCAGCAAGAACAGCTCAGCCCCATTTGAGCAGCGTCCTACATTAGCATATTTCCAAGGAGCAATTTATAGGAAGGATGTGAGTATTCTAATCTATTTGCACCAAAATTTAAGCTTTATAAGTTTCTATCTGTGAAATATTCATGTCTTCTTGCTTGATAATATATTTCGTTTTTTGAAATGATATCCTCATTGGGAAGTGGTGGTTTGTAGATTCAAGGTATTTTTTTCTTTCTTTCTATAGAATAGGTTAATAGACCTCTTTTTCGAGCCAGAATAAGTTAAGGAACAGAATCAGATGCTTTCACTTTCCAAATTAGACCAGGAATATTGGAATAGTTACAACACATGATTAGTACAAGGCACTTCTTTCTATCTTGGTTATAAGGTAACAAAGAACGTCTGTATTAGCAAAATTATAGAGAAGATATAGTATCATTAATGTGTGTCTAGCTGTTAAAAACTTTTATTCAGCAGAATGAATGAAGTATAAGCTTAGCCATTTTTAATCAGGCGGTCTTCTTAATATTTTGCTGCTCATTCTAGTTTTCTCTATTGCAGATAAGGCCAGTCTAACATATATATATTGAAGTATAACGTATTGTTTGTACTCCTTACATTATCACCCATGGAGCAAAGAAGCTATTATGTTAGTAGTTTTAGTACTGAGATAACCTATAACTCCTATACTGAAATTTGGAGTATGATAGTATAGAGTACAGAGTATATGAAAATCTGCTATAGATTAAGGAATTTTATTAAAATTGCTGTTTTCTGATGGAATTCAGCACAATTTTTTCAAAAAGAGGTGGAAGAACGAATTAAGAGTGGAGTTGTAATAAGTTATGAGGACTAAATTTAATATCCCCTCTTTTAAACCTTGTCAAAAAAGCCTTCGAAAATGTAAATACTTAATCATAATGTCCTGTTTGATCAATTAACATCACTATTGTTGTTCGGCCTCTCTAGTTATTTATTTGGTGTCATGCTACTTTGACTAATTCTGCTTGGTTATGTTTGCAGGGAGGAGCTATTCGCCAAGAACTTTTTTATCTCCTCAAAGACGAGAAGGATGTACACTTCACATTTGGAAGTGCTCAAAGGAGTGGAGTCCGTCAAGCAAGTCATGGGATGGGATCTTCCAAATTTTGCTTGAACATAGCGGGAGATACTCCTTCATCCAATCGCCTTTTTGATGCGATTGTCAGCCATTGTGTCCCCGTCATTATTAGTGACAACATTGAGCTTCCATATGAGGATGTCTTGGATTACTCAGAGTTCAGCGTGTTTGTCTGGTCATCATATGCTGTAAAACCAGGGTTCCTGGTAAATCTTCTTAGGGGAATTGGGAAAGAAGAGTGGACAAAGATGTGGGAGAGACTCAAGGAAGTTGCCCTACATTTTGAGTATCAATACCCATCTCAGCCAGGGGATGCTGTAGATATGATTTGGCAGGCATTGGCACGAAAAAAATCTGCTGTAAAGATGAAACGTACAGAACGAAGATATCGAATGCCATAGCTTCAAGGTATGAAAATGAGAATGGATAAAATGCTTGATTTTAGTCCAGAAGAATTGGAAGTTAAGCCTTCCATAATAGAAGAATTATTCAAATTTTGCTTATAGATTTTCTTTTTACCTGTGTAGAAATACTTTGCTTAAATTTAGTAATTTATGTGATTCCTTTCGTAATTTATTTTCCCTGATCTTCCCTTTGAAGAGACCTTGATCTTAATGGTTCGTCTAGAAAATATGAAATGGATGATATCTTTCTTTATGAATCTTCTTTGGTTCATGGCACCCATGCAATGCATGATATATCTGTTTACTAAAGGCGGGGAGAAAAAAAGAATGTTCTTTAACTGATATATGATATATCTGTTTACTAGTATAGTTGTGCAGGTGAACATCATGATAATTTCGGCCTCGAATTCAACTGTAGAGATTCTATATATTCTATAACATTGCTATATGGTTTTACAAAATGGAGATGATCTGTTCAGATCTACTTACTACAGTATAAGAATTTGATAGCTCCAATTTCTTAGCAGAATAATTGAAGTTTCCATTCCAAAGTTTGCCCTACATGAAACTCTGCACCTACAGTAGCATAAAATATGTTTACATAAGACCTACCTCACTTCTTTGCCAAAAAAAAATGTATCTTCTCCTACTACCCAAGGAGAGAGTTTTGGTGCGCTTCAACATCTATTATGAATCGGGTCTGATCCCCTTCGGACTCTTCGTTTGCTCGATTGATCTGGATGGAACACTACCGATGGAGCTGGAGCTTGACTCGGAGGATGTACCAAATCAGTCACAGCAACTCGCTGTAGACTTCGTGATCTCCTTGGAAACGAGTACCCTTTTAGTGCAAGGTTTATGCTGTTTAACCCGGAAACTGTGTGTGGTTGGCTAGCAACTAGAAGTATCAAACATACTAGAAAGATGAATACTTTATGGCCAAAACAGCCCATTATTTCTCTGAATTGTTTGAAGTAAGAAGAGAATTGATTTGACACAATACAAAAGAATGATGAGAGAATGAAGAATACTTTATATACTCAAAGATGAAAATTGTTCAAAAAATGTTAAGTGAAGAAGAAGATTAAAAAAGAAAAAAGCAAAGAGAAGAGAAGGAAGTGGGGGACCCAAAACAAATCCAAAGAAGGTAAATAAGATTGAGTTAATTAGCCAATGATGAGGAAAGAAGGGAGTATATATAGTGTATGTCAAAATGTGTAGAAGAAGAATAGAAGGGATAGTGTTCTTTTTGGGAAGGGAGTTCAGTGAAGTTTGAACAAAAAGGACAAGTTGGAACACCATTCTTGGGAAGTTAAGCATCTTTTCATGGTTCCCTACATTCCTATCATTTGCATTTTTGCTCTTTTAGACCAACCAAAGACTGTCCAACATTTCTCTTTAATCTATTTTACCTTAGCTAGTTTGTATAGATATATCGTTAATGGGTACCAAGCTCTAAATTATCGTACTTTCAATTGAATATATACTAGATCCCTCTGTCTAGATTTAGGCTCGATTCTTTTGCTGTGCTCTACTGACATCTACTATGCTTTGCTGAAAGCTGCTATGTTCTGCTGAAATCTGCTTTGTAGTGCTGAAAGTTGTGCTCTGCTTTGCAAAAACTCAAAAGAACAGAGCTTAGTTGTCATTACATAATGATTATGTATGGTTGGAGGATAATAGGATGTATACACAAATCATTTTTATCTACTATGGTTTTTTTTTTTTTTTAACTTGTATTCCTCCTTTTTAAAGTTGTGTGTTGTTAAATATGGGATAGATCTCTATGGCCTCCAAATTTCTGAATATGTCACCATAACACAATATGCATGTCAAAATCATAGATTAGTCAGATCTTAAGTAAAAGGAAAAAGAATAGTCTCTCAAAAACAAAAGCAGCTACCCACTTCAAATGATCAAAATCACATATTCCATGATCCAAAGTAATAGTAGGGTTAGTGATAGCAACCACTAGGATGTCTTTACAATAGGTATGCCTACCATAAATATCCTAATCTCAATAAAATAAATAAATTATGTATCAAACAATATTATCCAATATCAAAAGAATGCTATTTTGTTATTATGGCAACTTTAAAAGCTCTATTGCAATATAGCAATTAAGTGGCCTTTGATTGTAGCAATTCTAAATAAGCATTCAATTAATTGAGACGACTATAGCGAAGTAAAAAAGTCTTAATTAACATTATTAATATAGAGTATCAATTTTTAATCTGTCATCAAAAATTTCAATGACCTTCAAGAGAGGATACCCTTATTTATCCATATCAAGTGGTAAGATTGTAGATAAATAAAAAAAAAAAAAAAAAGTATCTAATTAGCATGACATTTTAGTTTGTTTATCAAAGAGTTCTATTTTCTCTTAAAAGTCTAATTATCCAACTAAAGATACTACTAGTCTACTACTATAGTGCATAGGGATCAGCATCAAAGATACTACTACTACTAGAGATGCAAAATGAGAATGGAATATTATAATAAATAAATAAAAATAAATAAATAAATAAATAAAAAATAAAATTGGATGTTCTGTTTAAATCTTAAGGAAGCAAAGTCATGAAACATTCTCTATAGTTGCAAGAAATCCTTTAAAGTAGAACAAAACTGAGAAACAAGATTTTAGGAGGAATAGAAACCTCTTGAGAAAGCCCCAATTTGATTGCTTTCATCTTAATTTTACTTTAGAAATTATAAGCTCTTCTCTCTATGCATCAAAATTGTAGTCTTGGTTTCTTGTGCCCATTGGATTTCTCTTTATGCTTTTCCTTCCCACTCCTTTGGATTTTCCATCCTTAAGCCCTACGGGTACAATTTATGTTCAAAGCTATGTTGCTTAAGGATTGGATATCGGGTTTGACACAAGTACATGTTCAAATGTTTGCTTTGGCTAATATTGTAAAAAAAAAAAAAAAATCAATATTTTAGTCCAAAATAATAAGTATATGTGCTCTATCATTGTCTGAATGTTGGGGTCCTTTGGGATGGGACAATAATACGTAAAAAAATAAAAGGTAGTAATATAGATTTAATATAGATTAAGGTCTCGAGGATATACACCACTCCATTATCCCTGATAACGGAGTATATTATATGCTTATATAATATGGTGTTTAAGGGTCTGCCATGTGGCATGTGGGCTAGCACTCTTATCAAGTGAATTGAGGTGAGTGTCCACATATAGACCTTGGTGGGTCGTTCATGTCAGTGTAATACAGAGTATCTCATACAACTAACCCCTAAAGCGAAAAGTGAATACAACTACGTAGTGATTATACTTTGTTTGAATATGTCCCACAAAACTCTAATTTTCCCTCCTTGGAGCTTGTTTAGAATAATTAATATGTACTAAGAAATATAAGAAAACTTTATAACAACTTAATCCCTAATATCAATCCATAGAATACAATTTTTTTTTTTTTTTTTTTTTTTTTTTCAGTATGAGGTAGCATTATTTATATGCCTTTTTGTGTTGGAAAGCATTTCATTTTACAATTCATTCTCTATATGTATACTAGGCCTCGCAAATAAACTTAATAGATATAAATTTTGTAATTCACGGGGACCATGTAATTAGGAGTTCCTAATTTTAGTTGCTTTTTTCTTGCAAGTTGTAATGTACTACATGTCTACATACTTGTTATGATCTTCTTGGTTAACAAATTTAGTATTGACCTATTGAATTGGATGTTCATTGCACATGGTTGTTACATCCTCTATTAGTCCTTGTAAATGTCTAATAAGTAACCCATTATCACACGCTAAAACAAGTAAATTGTGTCACTGACGTGTACACATTTCTTCTTATATGATCATTATTATGTATTAGTATTTATTAGATTTAAACATCAAGTACTTTAGCTCTTTATGCTTCTATAAAATTTAGTATCACTCTAATTTTTAGAAAGGCATACAATGGACCCCCAATAGATCCCATCTTGAGGCAATCAATTGAGTTAAATGCTCTCCGCCAACGGAGAGCATTCAAGGATTTGATCTCGCAATTTCACAAATAAAGTAATGAATTTTATCTCACTTTAAGGATATCAGCTAGCTACAGAGTACATAATTTTTTAGCATATATATATAAGAAAAATTGATATTGATTAAGATGGTTAGACATGTGGTGAGTTACAATCACTCGAATTTGACCAACACTACATCCACTAGTAATATTTATGTCCTTCGCTTAGATGGTTCAAAGTTTATGTATTGTATATGAATTTGCACATGTGAAGAATAAAACACATTCAACACGACATATATGTTTAGAGTCCTTATAAAAAAATATTGGCGTTGTAGGTAGAGATAAATTGGACATTTCCTTAGATAGAATTAGAAAGAAATGAAAGTCTCTAATCTCTAGCAATTCTTGAACTCGCAAACTGTCTAGGGTTTTCACTTTCTTAAACTAACAATTTTGACACATTATGAAATTCTTAGTCACACTTGTAAAACAAAACTTCAAGAAGTATAAAACAACTACAGCTTAGATTTATTAAATAAAGATGGGTATGGTCCAACGGAAAAAGAATTAAAAAAATAAAAAATAATATGCTTCTAATATTGTGGGTCTTTAGTCCCTCTCTTTGCTTTAGCATAGTAAGTTAAAGTGAAGCAAAAAAAAATAAAATCAAAGACATGACTTGTTGCTTTCACAAAAATCACTCTTAGCCATCAAATTTGAACTTTTAAACACTAATTTATCAATATAATAGGGACAATAAAAATGGACCAATTCTAAAATTTCACTCATATATTTCATTCATAACCAAATCTTAATGCCCAAAAAAATCATGTACCATTGGCTAGAAAGCTAGATATTAAGATATAGCAATAAAAGAATAAAAATTTGGGCCAATATGTAAATGTGAAGTTTGTTACCAACGAGGTAAAACGACCACTCATGAAGTTAGAGTTCGGTTTTAGTTAAACATGCTAAGACTCAAAACTCACCATTTGTCATCTAAAAGCTTAACATTGTACCTACAAAAACTTAGCACGCCATACTGACCAAAGTTTATGTCTTTATTAGCTTATATCCAAAGAAATCACTTTGTTACTTTGGATTTACCTATATTCGTCGGTCTTTATCTGCATATCAAATATTAGTGGTCGTTTGGTTGACATATGAATGTTCATATATACTATAACGAATGGAAAAAGTGGCTTAAACTAGTTCCTCCAAACGAGCACTTAGGAAGTAAACCAAGTATTCAATACTTTTTGTTTCCTTGCAGAAATTCCTGTTACATAGC